GCCTTCAACTATTCATCTCTTTATCATCAAGGCCCGTTTTAGTATTTCACATCTGAAATTTGTGCACTAAGTTCCCCGGGGAAATCAGCCGTCTTTTTATGAGAGGACTTAGCACACAATGTCATGGAGAAAAGCATGGTTTGTGGTCTAGAGAGACATCAAAATCAAATGATTAAGTGGCAGTAGCATGGGGGTGGGGGTGGGGGGTATACAACTAACACATTTCAGAAATGCAAAGCAGATATAAATCCAACTTCATAAATAGTTCTATAGTTTCCCTTCAGATTTGAGAAAAATAGCCAAAGGGCATAGAAGAGGACGGTTTTCAATAGGAATGCTTGATTAGATCTCTGAAAGTATTTAATGTCAAATCAATGTTGCTTATCTTAACAATGGACTTAAACACATTAACACAAACATTCACTGACACAAGCTGATCATGCACTTTTTACTCTCAGGCAAAGAGCTTCAAAATAATAGCCCCTTCAAACAATATCCAAGAAAACAACATCTCTTTCTGGCATGCACAGAAACAGGAAACTACATTAAACTCCTTAAAGCCGACCAAAGAATTAGTGTAATATTGTCCAATTTAAAAGGGGTCGTAAGGCAACACTCTAGGTTCTTTCTAAGTGAAATATTTTGCTTACAACAATGCAGCAAAAATAGTCTTTATTAACAAGCTTATACGCCCGACTTCTATTATTTCCTCTGACTATCTTCGACTACTACCTATTTTGGAAAACATGAGGCCTGGGCTGATTAAACATTATATACCAAAGGAGAAGTTAGAAATCTTGAGGTACAATTGACAGTCTTAGCATCAAATAAAATAACCCTGTGACTGTATGACTCGTTTTGATAAAATATCATAACAATAAGAGCCATATAAGAGTGTCTCTGGTGTTTTGTACTTGCCCCTTCTTTAAACTGCATCTTCTTGATGCTATTGCCTCACCACACTAGCAAGTAGAACCAGCTTTCAGTAGATCGAAAGAGCATGTCGAGATTTTTACATGCTATCATTCAAAATTCGTACACTAACAGCAGACTGGATCCTACTCAATCACATTGGAAGAGGAAGAGAATATTTCCAATGCCCCCTTAAAATCAAATACAATAAAATAAAATTAGAACAATAGTGTATGTTTTCTTGAATTTGTAATACTATGTGAACTGATGGTTATCACTTGATATATAGATTCAATAAACATCTGTGAGGGACTTGTGTTTAGCCAAGCTAGATTGAGCAGGAGGAGAGAAGGGTCCTTCAGTTCTATCCGTTCCTGGAACAGCATTATTCCACCTTCAAGTGTCTCATGCTCCTACTCCCAAAAGACCAGATGTACACAAAGATTTGTACAAAGATTTAAGGATAGCTATTTCTGATCATAAAGGCTATCATATCCTCACTAAATCTAACATTAGAAAATATCAATTGTCTATCACATGAAAAGGGAAAATTGGTCATTCCTTACTCACAGATATTGCTAACATATATCCAATTCCTTGCAGATCTAAGAGCAACAAAATATTAAGAACCAGAAAATATGCAATTCATGCTGTTCAAAGAAAAACGAACAACTGGGAAATTCTGTAAAGGAGGAAAAAACCTCGCATACGTTCCCAGTCTGTAAAAATAAAGCCAAACCAAATGGCCTGTATTAGCATACTGCTGGAGAAGGGGTATCTCCTGCACACAACTACTTTACATTTGTCCATATTTGCCATGTTTCCCCTTATTTGCAGAACCATAGCACGTTGTGAATGGCAATGATAAAGCAGGAATGTAAAAGTTATCCAGCCTCTCCCTGGCCAAGTCAGGTCTGTAACAGAGCACTATTCCTGTACTAAAACCAACACCCATCTCTTTGCTTTATTGCTTTATCATCTAGTTTATTCTGAGGAAATTGAACTATGGGCAATTAAGATTTATAAGCTAAATGCTTTCAAAATTATATCTTAGGGAAAGTCAAATCTAAATTAGATCAGCCCAGGCTTTTAGGCTTCCAGCTTGTTCTCTTTCAAGTGTACTGCCATACAGAGAACATCTCCTCTTACACATCCTTTCCAAAACATATCTAGACTGCTGCCACGAAGGAGGATCTCCTCAGGAAGACTCTATTTGCCTGTTGCTATTTGCACCCCACCTCACCCCACCCTATACACAGACGTGGGTTGAAATGTTTTGGTCAAGCTCAAAGACTGACTAAATATAGACCTAAAGAATAAGGTGTATGTTTTTCTAAATTAAATGAAATCTTCTGATCATCACAGAAGTAAGCAGCTCAAAACACAAGGATGCCCTCCTCATCTCAGATTCTGTTACTATGGCCTGCTAGATATCAGCACCCAAGCAGTAGCTGTTCCGTAGTGTGTGCTCTCTGCTCAAGAGGGATCATAAATGTTGAACAGGCACACAGATTTCTGATTGCAACATGAGAATGCAAACTGTAAACAACAAGGCAGATTTAACAATAGTGACATTTAATTATCATCC